GATGGAATGGGATGGAATGGGATGGGATGGAATGGGATGGAATGGGATGGAATGGGATGGAATGGGATGGAATGGGATGGGATGGGATGGGATGGGATGGGATGGGATGGGATGGGACGGGACGGGACGGGACGGGACGGGACGGGACGGGACGGGACATGAATTGAATTAAATGAAGCACAGAACGTGAATAGGACCTGTATAATATATAAATATGACTGAAATGAGAGATATATGGGACTGGATGGAATTTCATTGGAGTTTCACTACTTTTTACTTTTCAAAGGAAAAGTCAGCATAATTTCAAGTTCCAAGGATTTGATAAAAGAAATCATAGATTTTCAAAATTTAATGGAAATCGAATTTTGGTCGAGGGTAATTTTTGAAATTTGGATCATTCATAAACCGCCCCTGGGGTCACGTGAGGTCCAACACGAAATTTGGGCCCGACAGGGTTTAGCCGCTTTGACGTTTATTGAACACAGACGGACAGACAGACAAACAGACCAGCAAAATACAAAAATAGATATCACGTGTGGGATTACTGGATGTTTTCATATTTTACTTAAAAGACAAAAACTGTATATTGAAGATAAACCCCTGCTACTTATTTACAGATTACATGAATTTCAACTCGTTAGTATAAAAAGTTAATCTTCATCCTTCAATCAGAGGAATTGTCATAAATATTGTATTTTTAAATATCAAAATGTGGGAGTAAGATTATTCCATAATAGAGTGTTAGTTTAGTCGCCTGAAATTCTCAAGATTGAGTTGGAAATATAAAGCTTGAGTCTCTACTGTACTGTCAACTCGTACTTTGTGTGTTTGTTTATATAAACTTTCCTTCTCTCTTTGCTTAGGATTGATATTATATTTGGGAAGAATCTGGCTATTCTTATATAAAAAGTTTTCATGAATGGTATTGGTTGGGATAGGTTTTATCACCATCAAAAGTGGAGAAAATAGAAATTCTGAGATTATATACATCTGGTGGAAATGAAAAATTTCCCCCGATGTAGCTTCCTCTGTTTTTTTGTAAATCGTTGATTCTATTCTATCTATCTATTTTTCTTTGACGTCCCTAATTTAGTGATTTTTTATTAAACCTCATAATCAATTAATTAGTTAGAATATGGATATTCATTCTTGATTGAAGATTTTAATATGGATAAGAAATGCCACTCGACAAAAGAATGGTTTTAATTTAGGTTGATATGCTTCCTGAGATCTCAATTGTTTTATTTTAGGTTGATATGCTTCCTGAGATCTCAATTGTTTTAATTTAGGTTGATGTGCTTCCTGAGATCTCAATTGTTTTAATTTAGGTTGATATGCTTCCTGAGATCTCAATTGTTTTAATTTAGGTTGATATGCTTCCTGAGATCTCAATTGCTCCAAGAATGGTGACCAACTTTTCAGCTCTGATTAAACCTAGTTTCAAGAAGGATCTAGACTCGTATCTCAAGAACCGGACTCCGGTCAGCTTTCTATCAGAGCTAAGAACCAATCTACAGGTATACAGTCAACCCCAGAAGTATGGAATAGAAAGACGACCGTCAAATTCAATTCATGAGTTTAAATAGTCCAATGCACTTGGAATCCAGCAATGTAGAGTGAAAATTTCATAATTTGATAAGTATTCAATCAACTGAATAAATTATTAGCTTGACAACAGAATCAGATAAACAAACTTTTGCTTAAAGTTGATGAAAACCACTTGCTCCCCTAGCAGTGCTTCGTATTTATTGGATCCGCACCTTTAGTTCTCTTTGGTTCATTTTTGTCCTGAAGTTAGAACTGTTATGTTGTGAATCTTGGGAGCAAGCATATATTAATCTTTGTCTTTCACAGACTTGCGGATTCATTTAATTCCTCTTCGATGTTCCGTGGTGGTCAAACTCTGCGGGATCTAGAATTTATTTTCAAATTCAAAAGTACCCACATTTGATTTCGAGATCAAGTGTTCAAGCTCCCACCTCTGAACATTTTTTTATAAATATTTTTTTCTGTAATTTCTCCTGAAAAAATCTTTTATTCTGATTATATAACCATGTTTAATTGTAAGGTTTCCAACGAGCCTGGGATGCGATATAACATCTCGATGATCAACGCTCTGGTTATGTACGTGGGTACACAGGTAATGTGTAATACCTATTAATAACAGACGAAATATATATATTTATATGATATGATGATAAGGAATGATTAATTATACATTAGTCAAATTTCTGTTTTGTGTGTTAAAAGAATGTCTTCCTAGGTTTGTACAAACACTTAATTAATGTTAAATATTTCTATGGAAAAAAAATCATATTGGTCGAACAAATTGAATAAATGTGGGTAAACTTATAAGCTTTTAAGTTGACTCCCATTTTCATCTTTCCCCTCGAAAATTATTTTTCACAATAACTGTTCTATTCGGCCGAAGTCTGTATAAACGCTGTTTACATTTGAAGATGGCATTTTTTACTAAACTTTTTATTCTTGTAAGATTGTTATGAAAAATATTTGAAATAAACAAAATTTCCACAAAATGTTTTTAGCGAAGAGCAATGAATTGTATGCTAAACTTTACCTTAATCTTATATGTCGGTAAAATTCTGGTTTTCAATTTATCAAATATGAGTGAAAAGTGAAATAAGAGGTTTATTTTTTGCATACAGGCATTAAAGGATTCTCAAAAGTTAAATATCATTGTAATTTAATATTGAAATTTGAAATAAACAAAGATTTTAGGGTTCTTGCAAATTTGCAGTATGCATTGGCTGTTAGCATAAGTCAATTGACATCTGTTTGCATTTAGCAGATGTAAATACAGGGAATATAAGTTCCAAAACTAATACTCCGCCCATTTCTAACATTGAGTGTTAGAAATGGGTCAAATTAGCATATATCTTTAAATCCAAGACGAGTAGAACAAATTTACACCTTATATTTATAAAAAAAAATGGCTAAAACTATATATTTAAACAATACATGTAAATTTCAAACCAATAATAAGGTGTGAGAATTAGTTTTTGATGATTCTTGATTTCATTTTCGAACATATCCCTATTTTGAAACTATTACCGGATTTCAGCTCATGTCGCGTTTTCAAAACATATCCTGGTTTTGAGACAATTACGGAAATCAAAAAATTAATATCATTTGTTCTTACAATTTAGATTTGACTAGAAGTGCGGGAAACTGTTTGTTTCTAATGCTTGAAAATAAATCATCCATATTCTCTAATTTAACAGATAAAATGTGGAAACTTAGATTCTAGAAAAATTCAGAAGTTAATAAGATCATTTTTGTTTTCAGTGATTTTGTAAGTTATGAAAATGAGTTTTGTTTAATCGTGGATTATACTAAAAAACGGGAAAGTGGGTTTTGTCTCGAAAACGCGACAATGTTTCTAATACATGATATGTTCGAAAATGGAAAACCTAACATTGTCGTGAAAACGGTCAAGAGCTTTAATGTAAAAAGAACTTCTATTATAATTTTTATTTAATAGTAAGTTTAAAATTGGGAATTGTTGTCCTCGTAATGTTTAATAAAATGTTGGTTATAGTTTTCACTATCGACTTTTACTCTGGATATGGGCCGGGATCCCAAAAACCCAGTCTTTCAATTTGTGCCCATTTCTAACACTCAGTGTTAGAAATGGGCCAAGTGTTAGGTTTGGAACTAATGTCCCCTGAAATAGACTGTACTTGCAGAATCTAATTGACATAAATGTGAAGTGTCACGTGTGTACAATACAGAAGTAAATAGACATCTATTTGTACTGAGCAAAACTAAAGTCATCTATGTGAAGTGTGAAATACGAAGAAGAAAATAGAAATATGTTTTTCACTTTGCAGAAGAAAATAGACATATGTTTGTACCAAGCAGAAGAAAGTAGACATATGTTTGTACTAAGCAGAAGAAAATAGACATATGTTTGTACCAAGCAGAAGAAAATAGACATATGTTTTTACTAAGCAGAAGAAAATAGACATATGTTTGTACTGAGCAGAAGAAAATAGACATTTAGTATGACTAAGCAGAAGTAAATATTCCATTGTTTGTAGAAAAATTAAAATTATATTTTGGTCAGGCTATTCAATTTATCCGCGGGAAAAACAATAGTCCTAGCATGTCATCCATTGCTCACTCATCCCATATGGATATATTCCAGGTAAACTTTCTTTTTAGTTTTCATTCATTCATTCATCATTTGTAGTTTCATTTATTAATCTATCCTTAGTATTTAAGTAGTTTCATTCATACATTCATCATTTGTAGTTCATTTATTAATTTATCATTTAGTGTTTTTCATTAATTTATTATTAGTAGTTTCATTAATTCATCATTATTAATGTCATTCATTAATTCATTATTTAGTTTCATTCATTTATCATTTAGTTCTATTCATTAACCTATCATTTGTAGTTTCATTCCTTGATTTATCATTAGTAGTTTCAATCATTAATTCTTCATTAGGAGGTTCAATCCTTAATTCTTTTTTAGGAGTTTCATGTATTCATTCTTCATTAGTAGTTTTATTCATTCATTCTTCATTAGTAGTTTCATTTATTAATCTATCAATTGTAGTGTCATCCTTTCTTTATTAGTAGTTTTACATTCATTCTTCATTAGTAGTTTCATTAATTAATCTATCCTGGGTAGTTTTATTCATTAATTTATCATTAGTAGTTTTTAATCTTTCCTGAGTAGTTTCGTTCATTAATTTATCCGAGTAATTTCATTCAATAATTTATCCTAAGTAGTTTCATTCATTTATTTATTATTAGTAGTTACATTCATTAATCTATCAGTTCGTTTAATTCATTTACCTATCATGTAGTTTCATTCGTTAATTTATCATTAGTAGTTTTCATTCATTAATTTATCCTGAGTAGTTTCATTCGTTAATTATCATTAGTTGTTTCATTCATTAATTTATCCAGAGTAGTTTTATTCATTAATTTATCATTAGAAGTTTCATTTATTAATCTATCATTTTGTTTCATTTATGAATTTATCATTAGAAGTATAATTAATTATCATTGCCTTCATTCATTCAATAGTATTTTTCATTCACTTATCCTTATATTATTCACTTATTTATTCATTAATTCTTACTACATATATAGTAGAACCTGGCAGTAGATATTGATACAGAAGAAAGGTATCTGTTCCTAAACTGTATATTCTATATATATATATTGTAGAACCTGGCAGTAGATATTGATACAGAAGGAAGGTATCTGTTCCTAAACTGATATTCTATATATATAGTAGAACCTGGCAGTAGATATGGATAAAGAAGGAAGGTATCTGTTCCTAAACTGTATATTCTATATATATATAGTAGAACCTGACAGTAGATATTGATACAGAAGGAAGGTATCTGTTCCTAAACTGTATATTCTATATATATAGTAGAACCTGGCAGTAGATATGGATACAGAAGGAAGGTATTTGTTCCTAAACTGTATATTCTATATATATATATTGTAAAACCTGACAGTAGATATGGATACGGAAGGAAGGTATCTGTTCCTAAACTGTATATTCTATATATATATATATATATATATATAGTAGAACCTGGCAGTAGATATGGATACAGAGGGAAGGTGTTCCTAACCTGTATATTCTATATATATATATTGTAGAACCTGGCAGTTGATATGGATACAGAAGGAAGGTATCTGTTCCTAAACTGTATTGCTAACCAGCTAAGGTATCCTAACTCCCATACTCATTACTTCTCCTGCCTGCTCCTCTATCTGTTTGGAGAGGCCAACACAGAGTCCATTCAGGAGCAGATTACAAGGTCAGGGTTTTTTTTTCTCAAAATTTTGAAATCCGTGAAATCTTATTTTATTATATTATATCTAGGTGTTAACTGCGTACTGTAACATGTTGAATATTATATCTAGGTGTTAACTGATGGGACGTGGGTGCAAGCTTCCAGGAGATAAAATAATTTACTTCTTGTTAATAAATAATAATGTTTAAGTGACAAAACTTTTAATAGATAGGACGTTGGTGAAAGCTTTCAGTAGATAAATTAACAAACTTCTTGTTTATCTTTAAGGGTTCTTTTTTAAGTACTTGAAAGGTTACATAAGTTCTTTCTAGAACTTGAATGGAATTAAAGCATTTAACCATTTTGTTTTCTTTAATTATCTAATGTAGGGATGATATTAAGTTTTTCCAAGAATCTTACGCGTTTAGATAATTTTGATATGTAAATAATTAGTTTTTACTAATAAACTGAAATTTTATAGATACAAATAAATTTTCCAGGGTTTTCATCATGCTCTATCTGGAACTTAATGCCCCAGATCAAATTTTGGAGACCATCAATTTCCAGGTATTTATTAATGTCATTAAATAAACATGATACCCCAATTTTTGAAATAAAAATAAAAATTAGGCCAATCTTTCAAAGGGCCAAAATCAGAAATTAATTTTTTAATTAACGAGTTATGTTTCTGTTAAAGAGTTCATCAANCTGTAACATGTTGAATATTATATCTAGGTGTTAACTGCGTACTGTAACATGTTGAATATTATATCTAGGTGTTAACTGCGTGCTGTAACATGTTGAATATTATATGTAGGTGTTAACTGCCTACTGTAACATGATGAATATTATATCTAGGTGTTAACTGCGTACTGTCACATGTTGAATATTATATCTAGGTGTTAACTGCCTACTGTAACATGTTGAATATCCTCCGACCGACTAAAGCCCCAGGGTTTGCGTACGCATGGCTTGAAATTGTTTCTCACAGAGTTTTCATTGGACGGATTCTTTCACTTACTCCTCAACAGAAGGGTTGGCCTATGTATGCACAGGTAGGGTTATTCATTCATTAGTTCATTCATTCATCCTTATATATTTACTAATTCATCCTTGTGGCTTGCAGACATTCAATACACGCGTGTTTTTTTTCTGTCAGTCATGTAGTAATTCAATCTTCCTTTTAGAACTTTTTATATTTTTTTCATTTTGTCATTCATTATGTCATCCTGTCACTAGTTTTTTTGTGTGGCATTTGAAGCGTAAAGGGAATATTAGAATTTAAATGATTTTAAATATGTTACTCCTTTATTGTGCATAAAACTGCTGTCAAACTACATTGAATAGATATTTCATGAAATTTATATATTTTAGTTATTGACGGCACTGTTTAAGTTCTTATCTCCCTTCCTCAGGAATGCCGAACTCGCTAAACCAGTTCAGAAGCTCTACAGAGGTAATTCGAGTGATATTAGGTACTTTCCCAGGCGGGAACTTCCCTTGGGTGTTTTCCCAAGTGGCAACTTCTAATTGTGTGATTTCTCACAACCTGTGGGAAGTTGCCGTTTGGGAATTTGCACATTTGGGAAGTTATTTGGGAAATTGTCATTTGAGAAAATATCGAACATTATTTAAGTGGGTTTAAACTAGATAATACAGGGTGTATACAGTCGAGCCTATAAAAGATGATATTTAAGCAGTTTCATGTGTATTTGTTGATTTAATCCAGCAAATAGTTCACCAGTAGCATAAAGAAGCTGTATTGCACAATTGTTTATGTTCATTTAGACACTAAATAAAAGTAGAACTAAAGTCTTCTCACTATTTTTAGTTTTTTTTTGTCCTAGTGTAAATATTTGGGAAATCTTGTTTCTTCTTTATTAAATGTTTTCGGAATGTACAATTAAATGTTTTTTTTTATAAAGATAGGAAGTTTACGTTAAAGGGTATGTCATCTTTATTTTGAGTGGCTTCTCCTTTTCTAATGGACATGCCAGATTCAGAGTGGTATGAAAAGTTTTTAATTCTGAACATTTCTTAAGTGTTGTGAGGCAATAAATGTGCAAATTAAGCACAGATGAAAGTAAACGTAAACATTAATATATTATTCATACTTGATCCGACTAAGCGTTGTGAATTAGACATACCACTATAAAAAAGTGTCATGGAAACAACTTAAACATTTTCTTCAAGTGCAAATAATTTGATTGGGGGGGGGGGGATGAATAATGTCGAGGAAATACAGAACACATATTAAGTTCATTTATTCTAAGATTCAGATTATTTTTTATTTCAATTATCGTTCAAAATGTTTATTAAAAATACTTTTTCTTTTTTAAAATTCTTTCTCGTGTTTAATAATGACTTTTACGTAATCTTTAATATGTATTATGTGCTCTGTTCGGTGGTAAAAAAATAAACGATATTCACCCACGAACCTTAAATTATCTTGCTCTTATCCTGCTCAAATCTGATTTTATCAGCAAACAATGATTTCTTGACCCACTTCTGCGATGTGTGCGATTGCTTGAGATGGATGAACAACCTCTTGATCTTTTATTTGAAAAAAAAAAATTATGTTTCCACTTGTATCCGGATCTTTGAACCCAGAAAATGCTCTGTTGGCTAAGATTAAGTGTAAAATATATAATTATATATATTATTTCCGCCTATTTGATTTTTTATTGTTTCAAACTATAGATATGTTTGAAACAATAGTATTCACAGTATTATGAATACTTTTTTTGATATATTTTAGAAAGTATTCGAAAATGTAGTAAGTTAATGTCCAAATTTTTCTTGGGTTTTCTTAGATTATTGTATCTTAACTCAATTGATATTCAGGTACACTCCGAGTCTTGTTGGTTCTTCTTCATGATTTCCCTGAGTTCCTGTGTGATTACCATTACGGATTCTGTGATGTAATCCCTCCTAACTGTATACAGATGAGGAACCTTATCCTTTCAGCGTTCCCCAGGAGTATGCGTCTCCCGGATCTATCCAGATCTAATGGGGAAAATATCAACCAAAAACTGAAAAGAACAAAAATACTTTATTACTCTTAAAACCCAAATCTGTACTGTTGAAAAAAAGAGAGATTATAGAAATTTCCTAATCTCTGAAAGGTTTTATCTAATTTGAGCATAAAAATAAGCGAAGAAGGAAGAAAAACAAGATTCAGTAAATCTTGAAGAAATGTTCACAACCCGGATTCGAATACATTTGTTTCCGCATTACAATAAAAGGCATCTTACTTTATTATATTGAATCTAACGATACTTCGTATCCTGAACGTTATTGTCTTTTTTTACAACTAATTTTTAATGTATAAGCATATTTAATAACGCTTTTACGAGAGTACAACTAGTGGTTTTATGTTTATGTTTATTAACAATTTTTAGGAACTATTTAGAAGCTCAGTTACCAAAACTAAACGTTTTAGCTAAAACAAATGTTATGAATCTGGCATTCACCTCTCTTAATGGAGGCTCACTTGAAATATTAATAGTTCCTTTAACATCGTTGGAATAAACTAATATTATTGTAAATATTTCTATTACTGTTAATTAGAGTATTTGGATTTAATATTAGTTAAATATGCATTTTATACCAATGATAAATTTAATAATTTAATACCCCCCCCTCCCGAGGGGGAGGGGGGGGTATTAAACATCAGGGACTTTAAAGGAAAAATGAAAGGGGGTATAGGATGAACCCTGAGAATCTTAGGTTTTGAACGATATCTATAAGACATCTATCTCATGTTCCTGTCTCGAGAAATTGACATAAACACGCACTTTGTAGGGAAATTGATAATCCAACTGAGATCCAGTTCTAATGGTGTTAAGACGGTTCATAATTGCAGTATTTACGCACCAGATATATATTTCGTCTTTATAATTGGTGTCAATAAACTGACTTATTTTGATACTAATGATTAATTCATAATTAATTATATAGGTGGAAACAATCTACAAGTTATAAACTTCGCAATGATCCTGGCCAAGATCTACCTAATCGATGATCGATCCAACGCTCAGTTGATCGAGTCCGATCTGTTCGGAACGATCGAGGTGCTGGTTCAGATCGCCAATAACTCCCGCAGTCCACCCGAGGGTTTGGTCCAGATCGTTGATATGATCAAGATGAGCAGTGAAAGGATAGAACAGAATCTACAAATGTCAGGTAAAGGAAGCTTTTTATCTTAGTAGATGGTGTTCCAGGGCCCACAAGCCGTGATTTTTAGTTATGGTTGTCCAGGACCCGCCAGTTATTGTTTAGTTTGATGGTGGTCCATGGCCCACCAATCGTGATTGTCAATATTATGATTGTTTTCTTGACGTTTTTTATTGTCAATTTTTATGACTTTATGGTCCAGCTGCCTGTATTGTAAATATTAATCTCAATCTAGACCGCCAATTTTGCTGATGATGCTGATTTTGATAAATGAATTAGGATCTTTTTTTCGTAATTTTTATTTTGTTCTACTTTAGAAATTTTTTCGCTCGTGTTGTATTAATCTATAGTGCCTGTAAGCAATGCTTTTCTTGGATTTCTATTATTAAAATTTGGTTAACATACCGTGCAACTTTTCCAGATAAAACCCGTTAAGGATACATCTTTCATTCATAGTTTTAAAAACGGTGTCCTGAGCCCGCGATTTAAAAGCTTCCTTAAACCCAGCTTTAAGACCCAATCTTAGACTCAGCTCTGACGACACCTTGTGCCACGTTAATTACAACTGCGAGATCATAGACTTTACTTCGGAGTTAGGCCCAATGAAAATAAAACCGACCTTGGTTGTTTTAGTGGAAAATAAGGCTCGATGTTTAGTCTTGTTCTAATAAAAACTCGAGTTGCGCCAATTCCTTTTTATCTAACTGTGTAAAATAAGATGCAGCTTGAATCCGAAAGCTCAAGCCGTAAATAAGGCCCAACGACAGTTTAGACCTGAATCGTATTTTCTTGATTGTTTTTAATCGCCGGCTCTGAAATGGTGGCATGGCTAAAACTGTTGCTGGGATTCTAGAACATGTAAACTTATAATGATAGATATATTTTTAAATAAAATGCTAGAAGAACTCCTTAGTACAAAATTTTAAAAAATCCACCACTCATTTGGGACCTGAACCTCCCTGTTGGAGCTCAAATCAATTCCTGCGAAACATTTTATTTTATTTGACGAAGCATTGTTATTTCATTTGGGTGTTTGAGGGACCATCAAATTTTACCTATGAAAAGTTAAGACTTAGAATGGATCTTCTATTTTGATATTCTTCCAGGGCCCACAAGCCAACTGCACAGTGGTATTCAACAAGCTAGAGAATATGAGGATCCTCCAGGGCTCATGGAGAAAACAGAGTTCTTGCTCAGGTTTTCATTTAAACATTATCTGTATAAGTTGCATATTTTGTAGAAAGATTTTCTAACAAAAGAAGTCGAGTCGGAAAAGTCCGAAAAGTCTTTTAAACAACGCTTTCAAAGACGAATTATTAACTTTGTCTAATATTTTAATATCTCGTATTTTTTCATAAATCTATTTTATATAAATTTTGGAATTTTCTAATAACAGGTGAACGAACAATCATTTGAGAACACATTAATCCTTGTTTTATTTTATTTATCTATCTCATATGTGTGTTAACATGTACCACCTATCTATCTATCCAGAGAATTTGTTAACATTTACCACCTATCTATATATCCAGTGAATGTGTTAACATGTACCATCTATATATATATCTATCCAGTGAATGTGTTAACATGTACCACCTATCTATATATCCAGTGACTGTGTTAACATGTACCACCTATCTATATATCCAGTGAATGTGTTAACATGTACCACCTATCTATCTATATTCTATATATCCAGTGAATGTGTTAACATGTACCACCTATCTATCTATCTATCCAGTGAATGTGTTAACATGTACCACCTATATATGTATCTATGTAGGGAGTGGGTAATACGTACTACATATCCATCTATGTATCTATCTATCTAGGGAATGGGTGAATATGTACCACTCTCCGAATGCTGGAAAGGACAGTACTAAAGCTTTCCATGTATTTGTACAGCAGATGAATATGCACGGTTTACTAAAAACAGATGATTTGATCACAAGGTAAAATTTTCTAAATATCCCGAGACCAAATTCAACAAACATCCGGGTCCGTTGGATCCGCTAGATTTTGGCTTCTTTGATCCGGATCCGTAAAAATATACAGATCCAGATCTAATGGGGAAAATATCAACCAAAAACTGAAAAGAACAAAAATACTTTATTACTCTTAAAACCCAAATCTGTACTGTTGAAAAAAAGAGAGATTATAGAAATTTCCTAATCTCTGAAAGGTTTTATCTAATTTGAGCATAAAAATAAGCGAAGAAGGAAGAAAAACAAGATTCAGTAAATCTTGAAGAAATGTTCACAACCCGGATTCGAATACATTTGTTTCCGCATTACAATAAAAGGCATCTTACTTTATTATATTGAATCTAACGATACTTCGTATCCTGAACGTTATTGTCTTTTTTTACAACTAATTTTTAATGTATAAGCATATTTAATAACGCTTTTACGAGAGTACAACTAGTGGTTTTATGTTTATGTTTATTAACAATTTTTAGGAACTATTTAGAAGCTCAGTTACCAAAACTAAACGTTTTAGCTAAAACAAATGTTATGAATCTGGCATTCACCTCTCTTAATGGAGGCTCACTTGAAATATTAATAGTTCCTTTAACATCGTTGGAATAAACTAATATTATTGTAAATATTTCTATTACTGTTAATTAGAGTATTTGGATTTAATATTAGTTAAATATGCATTTTATACCAATGATAAATTTAATAATTTAATACCCCCCCCTCCCGAGGGGGAGGGGGGGGTATTAAACATCAGGGACTTTAAAGGAAAAATGAAAGGGGGTATAGGATGAACCCTGAGAATCTTAGGTTTTGAACGATATCTATAAGACATCTATCTCATGTTCCTGTCTCGAGAAATTGACATAAAACTGTGTCAAAATTATACCAAAACGGGCATAAGCCAGATTTTGTATAAAAGTTGTAGTATTTAATAGATCATATTCAACAATTACGCAACCAATCTGAAAACGATTATGTCCCACAGGGGCCTGAGAATCTCAGGTTTGCTTTTATTAGAATTTTTATTTTCTATTTTGCATTTTTGATAGATATAGTTGATAACATTATTACATATAGTCCGTATAGTCTGTATTACGTCACAATAACTTCAGCCAATGACAGTGCAGTATTGTTGTCACGTGGTACATACGGAAATCACGTGACCAGTATACTGCACTGCCATTGGCTGAGTTCTGGTGACGTAATACGGACTGTACAGATTAAATGTAATAATATTATCAATTATATCTGTTAAAAATTAAATAATTATAACAGGAGCAAACCTGAGATTTTCAGGTTGCTGTGAGATATAGTAGTTTTCAGATTGGTTGCGTAATTGTTGAATATGATCTATTTAATACTACAACTTTTATACAAAATCTGGCTTATGCCTGTTTTGGTATAATTTGGTATCATCCTATACCCCCTTTCATTTTTCCTTTACAGTCCCTTTAAGCATTTTTTTAAAATGCGTTTTATATAATTTGCGCGTCTTCAGTTTTTACAAAATCTGAAAATTTTGATTTTTTGTCAGCATTTAAAATTGTACTGTTTCTTGGAACTTTATTTAGGGTATTCAAGGACATAAATAACTGCGAGGTTATGGGTCTAATATTATTACAGTACAATTCAATTCAAATTATACATAAACGGACCACTTTTAACTATTTCTCAACCTCTCAAGGCAAATTCAATCGGCCGGAATACGAGGTTTTGTTAAAAATATCAACGTTTGTATATTGCTAAAAAATTTGTAGTTTAAAGTGGAGTGCCCGGGGTTGCGCAGGTTAGGGGTTCATCTAGGATTGATCTGGTCGAACATTGTACAACCATTACACCCAACAATGCCAAACAAACATTCTGCCGCAAATTATCATTCATGTTTCTTATTCTCATGTTCTAAACAGGATGTCTTTATATTGTAAATATCAACAATTTAGTAAATAACTAATAACTTTCCGAATAAATTTTTATTCTTGACGATATGAAAATAGACTTGAACTTAAATTCTAAAGAAATAAAATTCTTAGTGTTGCTTAAATCGATTTTGTTAAATTTTTGGTGCCATTTCTTCGTGCAAATTTTGAGGCCTGTTTAATAGAGAGAGAAAAGATTAACAGCTGTATTCATGATTTAACGATAAATATTATAGAATGGTAAAAAGACACTCTTAAGTATTATTTTGTTGTGAACTTATTAGTGAAGTGACACCCACACTGTAAAAACACCATACACCCACTTGGAGTCATCTTAAAGGGACTGTTACGAACAAAATGAGCATTCGGAAACATGGCTTTAAAAATATCATACTTAAAGGGACTGTAGGCGTAATTTCATGTGACCTTCCGTTTGAAGAGTGACATATCTGATACAAAACAATTTACCCAAACCCTTTAAAGGATGCCGGAACCTAAATATATAAAGAAGTGCTCGTAATTGATGTTAACTTAGTTTTCAGTCTGTTTTTTCAGTAAACATTTTCATTCACATTTTTGATAACCTCGTTGGACATTGTTTGGGATTCTTGAGTATTATGTCACGTGAGCTGTGTCGAGTTTACTCTCCGGTAATTTGAACACCATTCTAGAGTCTAACACACGGATTACTCTGCCTTCGATGACCAGACAAAGGTTTAAAGGGTACCGGATAATGTTTTGAGAAGAATAGGATCAGGGGCGTAAAAGCGACATCCCATTTAGAGAAAATTTTGAAGGTTTATACTTTACATTATTATAAACTCTCCCTTTAAGAAGAGTTTTTGTTTGGCTCAATTTCCACCGTTTTCTCAGGAATACTCTTAATCTAAATAAAGTTTTTGTTCTCAGATTTTTCCGTATGTCAACTCAGATGTGCGTAGATCTTTGCTACAGAGCACTGAGTGAACAGGTAGACAAAGTTTTAGATAAATTATTGATGCTATATCGTTTGCACTAATGTCCGATTGAACTAACGTACTTTTGCACTAAAGTCAGCTGATCAGCAACACTTGTGGCCGCAGCGCCCGGCCCCCTAGCCTGTCTCATAGCCGCTTGCGCTCGGCCCCCTAGCCTGTCCTAGCCGCAGCGCTCGGCTCAGAAATTGTCCTAACCTAACCTAACCCTGAAGTAAAACGTTAGTCCGATAAACGTTAGTGCGAATGTACGTTAGTCCGATCAATCATTAGTGCTAACGATACGACACCAAATTATTTGTTTTTCTGATTTTTTTACAACGGATGTTTAGTTTAAATATGTTTAACAATATTTTTTATAAGGTCTAGTTTTCTGTCTTTATAAACCTATGATGTTATAGTTTTCTATTTGATTAAAAAAAAGAGAGATAGAAAAATTCAAGTCAGGTTGCGAAGAAAGGATTAGAAAATTAGATTTTGTAGCAGATATCAGTTTTTAAAATTATTTTTAAGGTTGCCAACAACGGATCCCTTGTTCGTGCAAAATGTTTTCACACTCTTGACGCATTTGTTCGTCTCATTGCACTACTTGTGAAACACTCGGGTAAGTTAGTTTATGATAAATTTTAATAGCCCCCTCCCCCCCACCCTTCTTGGAGTATCTCTCACTTGTTGCAATTCACATGACCCCGGGAAAGTGTTGTGGCAAGTCGAAGTTGAAAAATTTTGTCCAGAAAAAAATGACATTTTTCATTTTTGAAAATGCAACAATTTTAACATAAAATTCGGCAAAATTTTTAGTTTTAAAAAATACGAAGTAAAATGTCTGCTTGTTAAGCATTAAGCTACAATTATAAGCTAAATTTGTTACTTGTAAAGATAAATATTAGTAGTTAGAAAAATTGAGAAATGTTTAGGAGACCAACAGAACACCATCACTAAGGTGAACCTATTGAACAAGGTTCTTGGGATAGTTGCTGGGGTTCTTCTCATCGATCATGAAGTTAGGAAGAAAGAGTTCCAACAGGTTCCATATCACAGGTTCGTACCTTACCCCCCCCC